TTTTTAGCGTAAGGATTTTAGAAAAAAGTATCGTCTTATAGTCGGAAAAATACGGTATATATATATTTTAAATGAGGCTAATATTAGCCATGATTGTTCCTTAACATTTGTTCTGATCTGCCAGTCAGTTTTTTTTGCCTCTGCTGAAGTTGTGGACAATCGTTTCAGGAACTCTTGCCTTACTCTGCCTCCCTGATTTCAGCCTCTCTAGCAGGCCTTTTACAAATAAAGATTTTAATGTCTTTCCAGTTCCCCTCTCCCCCCATAACTGCATTTTAATGCCTAGACAAATGCGCGTAACATGAAGGAAGAACATGGAAGGAGTTATGAAAGTTTATTTCATTTTCCTGTGGAGTGGGAATGAGTGGCAGTAAGGATCTGCAGTGCTCAGACATTCTTTGCCCCTTATTCTTGGTGGTAGTTTTGAAGGATTAGGAGTAGAAATGCTGTTTTTCTCTCATGTCAGTGTTCCATGCTGACATTCTCTGAAGTAAGATGACAAAAACAAGCCAGCTTTTTCCTCCCCCTTTTTTCCTGGTTGTTGATTTGCAAAGATCCCTCCATTGGCTCCAGAAGAGAAACCTGTTTTTCATTAAACCCAGGCTCAACTGAGTAAATAGTTTGAAATCTCTCTTGGACTTTCTCACTTGCAGAATAGATTGGTTGCTGCTAACTTTCTTAACTTTCTTCAGTTGCTGCTAAAAGAAAACCATTTTGGAAACCATTTTGGCAATTTATTTGACCAAACAAACTTAGTTTTTGCAATGGCCTCAGGAAAAACAAGAAAGATGGAAGAAATAAGTCTGCTGAAGGTAAGTTAGCCTTCGCACTGAAAATCTGCATCCTGTTGCTTTGACTAAAAGATTTCAGAATTTCCTAATCCCCATTCAGTAACATACTTCTAAATACAGTAGAGTTCTAGAATACTTTCATTCTTTCTGGGATGAACTGGGAAATCATATTTTTATCTGGAACTCTTGCTGCAGATGCAAATGCTTTCTGTGAGCAGGCAGAAATCAGCACCAGGTGTTTGCTTGAGCTTTGATTCCTGATGCCCACGAGGTCATTAGCTTGGACTGAGGAGATTTTGCACTGTTCACTTAAAACCCTATGTATTTAAAACTTCAGTCATTCTTTGTAATTCCTTTTCAAATTCAGATTGTGGTGGGTCTAATTGGCGTAAACTTAGATTTTTAACATGTTTAAACTAGATCTGAAACTAGTAAATTTGGGGAAACAAGAATTACAGTACCCTTCCATTTTTAAAGGGGCCATTTTAAAATAATATGGAATGTGTTAGACACATGAGAAAAATATTTAAGAAGTATTACTCAGTGTCATACTTTTATGAGCTTCTTAACATTTAGAAGTAATCCAAAACAGCTTAGAATAATAATTTCCAAATGAATTGAACCAATCCATTTCATCAGGAGGATCTGATGCAATAAAACACAGAATTTGAATAAGAACCTCATTCCATTATCTGTTACAGCTATCTATCAGAAAACTTTGGAATGCTAACTTTCATCAGTTACAAAAAACTAGAATTAATTGGTTCACTAAGACATAAAATATATTCTGACCATTCCAGACAAAATCCATGTTTTAGAAAATTGTAGAAATGTTATTTCTCAACCAGCCTGTCAAGCAAACCAAATGTATTAATTGCACATAATTAATATATTTTGTCAGTGCAGCTGGGGGAGTTGATACTTTTCCTGCCACTGCCTTTTTCATTATTTCTGGAAGAGGGTTCTAGAACTGGTGATCCATCAGCCTAACCATGCTTAACCCATTTGACACTTCACTTGAAAAATCCTCACTTGAAGCCCCTCTCTGAAGCCTCTCCTTTTCTTTCTACCATTTTAATTGGTAAGAACCACAGAACACCTATTAAATGTTATTTCTTTCATTTTTCACTATTTCTGTGGAGTTAATTATAATTTTAGTGCTATAGAAGCACTAAACATGCCCGTGGTCTTCCATTGATGTTCATGAATCAAGACATTGTAGTTCTTTACTCAATGCCTTCTTATAATCTTGGATATCTAATTTATGTATTGGAAGAACTTTTTTTTAATAACTAATCATTATTGGGTTATTGGTACAGAACATATTAAATCCTTTAATACTATTGAGCACTGCTGGCCATATCTAGATATCAAATGGTATTTTAATTGAGGGCATTGCCAGTCGATACATTTTTGGCAGCTTTCTATATTATGAAAATGATCAACTAATGCTATTAATTGATCCAAGGTATGCATTTCACTTTCCACCCAGGTTCTCCAATGAAAGGGTTGCCTTACTGTTTTCAAGGTTCAATTTCCCATAATGTTCATTTGCAATAAACATAATGATCAAAGTGGAGCTAGCTAATGTGCTATTGCATGCTACACCTCTTTTGTAGGTAATATTAGGAGGGGAAAATCCATTCTAGACAAATTAATTGATCATATTCCAACTTACTAAAGCTCAAAAATGCAATCCCAAAATGTGGGAATGATAGGTCTTATGATAAAAGCTTAAATCTTAAAAATTAAAACCTCAACAGACAATTGAAACATTCTGATTGAAAAACAAGGGGAGAATTCCCCCCCCCCCCGAAAACTTCAAAATAGTGCATTAAGTTCCCAAAATACATTTCAGGACTATAGATGCTATACTATATTTATACTATACCAAAGTATAAATTATGGCAAAACATTCATTTTTTAAAGTACTGATTTTGCTCTAAATATGGTACTCAGCTTAAGTGAGGTCTATCTACCCAAATCTGTTACTAATTTCCAGGAGCAGTTTGTTTAAATTTGAATCTGTAACTTAGATATCTTACATACAGCAAACAACCTCATTTAACAGACTCCAGTGTAGCAGACTTTAGATTAAATAGACAGGGTTATACTGCGCTGGGACTCTGGCAGTAGTAACAGCAGTGTTGGTGGAGAGGGAGGGAAGACTGGGAGGATCAGTAAGGGGTAGACAGGCCAAAAGAATATTCATCTAAATCCACAGTCATGTTTTTATTCATTTCTTTAAGATATTATGTTTTCAGGCTTTTGGTCAGTGGATGAAGGAGTAGATGGCACTGCCAACACTGCTGTGCCACAAGTTGGAAGCTACTTCTCAGTTTTAAATTTTCCTCTTCAAAGTATCTAGGTGGCCTGTAAGTTATTTCCCAGTTAACCTGAAGGTTAGCCAACCCTCTATCAGTTCTAATGAAGAGGCTATGCAACTCTGTAGATTAAATAAGGCAGAAGACAACAGGAATGAAGAAGCTAAACACGCATACCTCTTGACTACAATTATTCCATTATTAGCTTCTAGTATGGCTACACTTCTCTCTCATATGGCATTGAAAGTTTTGTAGAAATAGGATTCTTTCTTAAGATATAGGCAACAACCTGTACCTCTTTTAACTCTAGAGGTAGTTCAGTGATAGAAAAGCAGAGTCAGATTTACTAAACCATGAATATAATGTATGTGATTAAATTCCAGACCAACTCCAGATGTCCACTTGTCCTACAAACCATGTGACATCAGGGTAGGGCTTAAGAGAACGAGATTCCTCCATTAAACCCCACACCCAGTAAGAGGATAAGGGAAATAGTTATTTTCCATGTCCTCCAGCACAGATGAAATGACTCTGCAAGAGGAGTTGAGTTCAGAAATTCAGCTATACTCCAATTTGTAACCAAAGTTGACATGACCACCTAATGATAAGTCTGAAAGGGCAAACATTAAAATTTCAACAAGGTAGGAAATACTTCTTTGTATGAAGTATCCTTTTGTTTTGCAGTACATGTCAGGATTTGGTAATGAATTCAGCTCTGAAGATCCACGCTGCCCTGGAGCCTTACCAGAAGGACAGGTATTTAAAATACTGGGTATGATGGAAGACATGAGTGAGGAGGTCCAAGGTCATAGGGAGTTGGAGAGGAATCTCAAGCATCTCCTCAGCCCGCAGCCTGAGCTTGTGAAAACTAAGAGGATGGGACTGGCACCACCCTAAAATGCAGAGTGTTTAGTTGCGGTTGTTGGGGGTTACAGTTAGATTCTGTCTAGTAGGTGTAAGCTA